CTGGTGCTAGAGTCCAGAAAAAGGGCTCAGGAGCAGAGAACACTGGGTGAGCAGGCTAGCCAGGAAACGAAAAGGCCATGCCTAATAAAAGAGAACCCCGGAGCAGCTGTCTACTCAACTGAACAGCTGAGCATGGGACAACAGACTGTATCCTCAAAGTCAACCATCTTGGAGGACATCTTCAACTTCTCAGGTACTTTTGGGCTGATCATTCCTACTGTTGTCCTGTCAAGGCAGCTGTAATGACTGGGGTGTGGTGCAAAAGCAACACAGTCAGAATAATAAGTAGGGGTCTCTTTAGCTCCAACTTTGCTCCCAATGTCCCGGTTACCTTCCGGTCTGGAGAGAAAACTCTTCAGGAACCTGCAACAGTCTTTGACTACAGATATTCCACTCCAAAATGTTATAAACAGACAACTTTAAACTATGAATTCAGTAAGACAAGATAAGGTAATAAATCCAGCTGGGCAAGATGAGTTCCAGAAGTGAAGTAACACAGCAATAAATCAAACCAGTTGGGAGGATGCCAGGAACTCATATAACAGCAGCCAACACAAGATAAACTCAATGTTTATTCCTGACAAACGCCCCTCCCAACTGGTTCTCCTTTAAACTCCCTTCCCAGGTGTGCCTTGTGAAGGGAATCAGGGCCCTTTCCTCCCTCATAAACCACGCAACCCACATTGCTCTCTTCTCCGTTCTTCCCTGCATGCCCTAGGATGAAGAGGGGGTGGGCCTTGGTCTTCTTCTGAACCCCCTCTCCCTTGTTCTACCTCTTCCCTGCTCTGCCCAACCTGACTTTGTCCTTCCCCAGTGTCCTCCACAGCCAACGGAGCCATTCTTCCACTCTGTCAGCTGTTCGTCTACCTCAGACTCTGATGGGGGCATGACAGCAGCTATTAAATTTAAGTCCCATCTGCCAGACCTTTTCATACAAGTCTAGTTAAGAGTACAAACCTTAGTTGCAGGAATCCCAATTAAAAACATTTCCAAGCATGTGGTTGTTCAGACTCTCTCGGACCTTGGTTCATTTCTGCTGGGGTTTGTTGATGTCCTGAGAAGGGATCTTGAGCCTGGAGCCTGATCTTTAATTTTAATGAGATACCAGGATAAACCTATGCAGAGCTCCTGATATCTTGCTTTACTTTCTACTTATGGCCGGTGAACTCCATGAAAGCCATTTTATCTCCTGTAAAGAGCTCCTTAGATTGTCCTCCAGTGTTAGATTCAATTTTCTTCAATTAAGTTTAAACCTCCTGTTTTCCCAACTCCAGATACGACTCCACCCAAATCTTCAGGAAATGGTGTGATCTCTGCTAGTGGTCTGTGGGCCCTGGAACAGTCCCCGCTCCTCTACAAAGGCCCTCCTGCAACCCAGAGGAAGTGCCCCAACGGTATGCCAATTTGCATTTCAAACCCTCAGTGTAATGAGCAACAACATTTCAAGGGAGCTAAATTTCTTGCACACAATGTTGCGATGAGGCAAGTTCACCATCAATCTGAGGCTTGCTTATTGGAAACATCCCTTGCTTTCTTTTGAGCCAAGAAAGGGTTTTTCAAGACCAGTAAATGCCTCTGCTCTCTCTGAACATGGTTTCAAAAACACAAGAACCGAAAATGATGGGACGTGAGAAAGGCAAAAAACCAAACAAATTCAAGTGCTGGCTTTTGGTTACAATGGTCCTGGAGAAATACACAGCCTGAAGCCAAATAGTCTCTAGGCTTGATTTTCTGAGTAGCACTTGTTGCTGAAATGATGGCCTATGTGAGGTTAACTTTCCTCAATCCTGCCTTTGGATAGTAACCAGTTTTAAGCAAAAAACTTTGCAAATCCTGGTGCTGTGACCAGGGAATGCTTCAAACAGCCATAAACGTGGGCCAGTTTCTGAATGCCAAAATATGGCCACATGACTATAGGGAGAAAGCTGTCAGAACCAGGTCGTTAGTACTTCTTAAGGGGATCCATCATAATTTCAAAAGCTCGCTAAAAGCAACTGGTCTCTACCTGTATAGCCAAATTAGAATCGATAAAGGGGAAGGATCTTGAGTCCTTTTCGCCTTCCTCTACACACTTCACACTAACCTAGAAAACAGCAAACTGTTTTTCATTTTTCTTTTGAAAAGACCTTTCCTTAAGAAAGCTAGAAAGTCCTACACACCGGTGGTGGGATTCAATTTTTTTACTACTGGTTCTGTGAATGTGGCTTGGTGGGCGTGGTATGGCTTGGTGGGCGTGGCAGGGAAAGGTTACTGCAAAATCCCCATTCCCTCCCCACCCCACTAACTTGCTTTCCAGCTCCATTCTCCTATGCAGGGCAACCAAAGACCCAGCCAATCAGCCAGGACTTGGGAGGCGGGGAATAGATGGGGGCGGGGCCAGTCAGAGGTGGCATTTGCCGGTTCTCCAAACTACTCAAAATTTCCACTACCGGTTCTCCAGAACTAGTCAGAACCTGATGAATCCCCACCTCTGCTACACACCCTTCAAACAAGTGATGAGTTCCCCCACCCTTGCTGTTCTTAACAGTGTTCCGTTGGGATTTTTCACACTGATTTTTTCCTCTAGGGGAAGACATGGATATGTTTGGAGCGGCATACGAGGACTTGTCTCTTTTCCGCAGCACGCCTGCCAGAAAGAGATCCATTACCAGGACCTACTCACGGAAAAGGCCACTCTGCTGAAATGAGATGGCCAGCGGGAATATTTTGGAGCCAGACCTTCAATCTCTTTGGGACAAACGCTGCAATCCAAATCAGGATTCAGTCACCACAAGGGATCGCTTGTACATGGCTGGCAGTGATTCATGGCTGAGTTCCAAGAAGAGCAGAAATTGAATTCTGTATTTCAGGGCTCTCCAAGCTTGGCCCCCTTAAGATGTGCGGACTTCAATTCCCAGAATTCTGGGAGTTGAAGTCCACAAGCCTTAAAGTGGCCAAGCTTGGAGACCCCTGCTATATTTTATATAGGGTTTTTTTAAAAAGTAAGGGCTATGCCACTGTATGGCCTTTGCAAAGTTTTAAGAGGAATGCCCAGAACCGAGAGCAGTGAAAGCAACCACTTTTAAATTGTTCTTTTGTAAAATAAATTAATTTCTTTTGACAAACTGATTTTTCAAATGGTCGCTAAAGGTTTAGCACATCTTAGATTCATGCTTAAATATTCCAAGGCTCTAACTTTGACTCAACCACACTTTTGAAGTCCTAATCCTGAACCTGTTGGCTGTATCTGGGGGGAAAGAAAAATCAAACACCCCTTTAGTCAAGTTTATGATCAAACCTTCTCAGGCAGGGATAAACTAGACAAATTTACAAAATAGCTACTCTAGTTTATTAAAAGTACAGTCCAAAAAGCTACTTAAAATATGTGTACATATTTGCAAAGAGATCAAATTTACTGTCCCTTTGTTTGAAATGGCATCCGTTACGGGAAATCCAGATTTGCAAAGAAAAGTTTCTGTAAAGAATGGAAACAACCAGTTTCACTGTAAAAGGCAACTACAGGTGAAACTCGAAAAATAGAATATTGTGCAAAAGTTCATTTCAGTAATGCAACTTAAAAGGTGAAACTAATATATGAGATAGACTCATTACATGCAAAGCAAGATAGTTCAAGCCGTGATTTGTCATAATTGAAAACCCCAAATCCACAATCTCAGAAAATTAGAATATTGTGAAAAGGTTCAATATTCTAGGCTCTAAGTGTCCCACTCTAATCAGCTAATTAAGCCATAACACCTGCAAAGGGTTCCTGAGCCTTTAAATGGTCTCTCAGTCTGGTTCAGTAGGAAGCACAATCATGGGAAAGACTGCTGACCTGACAGTTGTGCAGAAAACCATCCTTGACACCCTCCATAAGGAGGGAAAGCCACAAAAGGTAATTGCAAAAGAAGCTGGATGTTCCCAAAGTGCTGTATCAAAGCACATTAATAGAAAGTTATGTGGAAGGGAAAAGTGGAAGAAAAAGGTGCACAAGCAGCAGAGATGACTGCAGCCTGGAGAGGATTGTCAAGAAAAGGCCATTCAAAAGTGTTGAGGACTTTCACAAGGAGTGGACTAAGGCTGGAGTCAGTGCATCAAGAGCCACCACACACAGACGGATCCTGGACATGGGCTTCAAATGTCGTATTCCTCTTGTCAAGCCGCTCCTGAACAACAAACATGTCAGAAGCATCTTACCTGGGCTAAAAGAAAAACAACTGGTCTGTTGCTCATGGTCCAAAGTCCTCTTTTCTGATGAGAGCAACTTTTGCATCTCATTTGGAAACCAAGGATCCAGAGTCTGGAGGAAGAATGGAGACACTGCAAGATGCTTGAAGTTTCCACAGTCTGTGTTGATATGGGGAACCATGTCATCTGGTGTTGGTCCACTATGCTTCATTAAGTCCAGGGTCAACGTAGCCATCTACCAGGAGATTTTGGAGCACTTCATGCTTCCTTCCGCAGACAAGCTTTATGGGGATGCTGACTTCATTTTCCAGCAGGACTTGCACCTGCCCACACTGCCAAAAGCACCAAAACCTGGTTCAATGACCATGGGATTACTGTGCTTGATTGGCCAGCAAACTCTCCTGACCTGAACCCCATAGAGAATCTATGGGGAATTGCCAAGAGAAAGATGAGAGAAATGAGACCGAACAATGCAGAAGAGCTGAAGGCCGCGATTGAAGCATCCTGGTCTTCCATAACACCTCAGCAGTGCCACAGGCTGATAGCTTCCATGCCATGCCACATTGAGGCAGCAATTGCTGCAAAAGGTGCCCAGACTAAGTACTGAGTACATATGCATGCTTATATTTTTCAGAGGTCCGATATTGTTCTATGTACAATCCTTGTTTTATTGATTGCATGTAATATTTTAATTTTCTGAGATTGCGGATTTGGGGTTTTCATGAGTTGTAAGCCATAATCATCACAATTATGAACTATCTTGCTCTGCATGTAATGAGTCTATCTCATATATTAGTTTCACCTTTTAAGTTACATTACTGAAATAAATGAACTTTTGGACGATATTCTAATTTTTTGAGTTTCACCTGTATACAAAAGTAACAAAGCCAGCGAAACCCAGGTAAAAGATCTGTGAAGATATCAACATTTGACTGGGTTCATTCATTATATTAAAGCAGAATGTGATTTGTAGAATCTGGAGATTGTGCATGCTGGAAAGGATCTTATCATCATCTCTCTAATCCACCAATATAATATTTCTGATAGGCAGCTATCAAACTTCTGTTTGAAGATCTCCACCAGCTTCTGAGGCAGTCTTTCTCCATGGTTGGACATTTTCTATCATTAGGAAAGCGATAGATTTGTGGACTTCAGCTCCAATGGCTGGCTGGGGAATACTGGGAGTTGAAGTCTACAAGTCTTAAAGTTGCCACTGTTGAACACCACTGATCTATGGTTTCTTGTCCTGTCTTCTGGAGCAATTCTGCCCCATCTATGAGACAGTCCTTCAGATCCAAAGCGGCTATCCTTCATCCTTTTGTTAACCCAAGCTATTGTTTCTCCAGATTGTGCATAACGATTTTACATCATGGATGAACCCACCTACTGTCTTTTTGGCGATTTATGAGCAGTTATCTTCAGAAGGCGCTAATTAGTTTATTTTAGATGGAACAGTCAACATCTCAGAACTAGAGTGGATTTTTTCTGACATCAATGATTTCTGGATAAGACAACCCAGGGATGGCGTTCTGACTGACCCGGTGCAATTCTTTGCGGTATCTGGGTGGCAAAAGAATCTCCTTGGCTTGGTTAGACTTTAGGAGAAAATCTGTCTCCATTTCATGAAAATCTTCCACTATCAAATTATTGGCACCAGACAGTGAGCAGCGCCTCCAGGTGGATGGTAATGGCGCATGCACCAAGTCCTGGGGTTCTTCTCTCTTTTTTTGATTCCTTTCTGAGGGCTCCAACTGCAAGGATGGTTCCAGCTGGCTATTTTTGGTAAAATCTTCATGTGTGCTGAGTGAATTGGGTCTATCTCCAACTGCAAAGATGCTCCTCTCCATACCTGTTGTGAGAAAAGAATCTTTTAGTGAGGGATGATGGAACAACATGGTTGGAGTGGTGCGATGGCCTAGAGGTGAAGCTCTCGCCTCACAATCGGGAGGCTGTGAGTTTGATCCTAGGTAGAGGCAGATATTTCTCTGGGCACAGTGAGAATATGTCTGCTGGACAAAACTCTGCATTGGTGATAGGAAGGGCATCTGGCCAGTAAACACCTCCATTCAGTTGCCCAGAGGCCACCCTGATGCAAGGGATTACGGAGCCATTAAAAGACAAATAAAAATGGAACAACATGTTTGATCTAGTAGCTGTGGTTTGGGTTTCACAAAGCCAGTTGCTTTGCATGCAGTAGAACCATTTTGAATTTACTTGAGTGATGTACCTAGCAGGTACATTGAATTAGCCAAGTAGAGGTAATAATCAAACAAGCCAGGCTAATAAGAACAACGCACTGCAACCTGCATGTTTAGCTCCTGGTGCTTCTGGGACAGCATAGCCAGACACGGTGCTATGCTCCTTTGCCAAGATGCCTGTTTGTAGAGATCCTAAATCCAGATGCATCCAGTTCCCATTTGAGAGCATGATTAGATGAACTAATTCTACTTTACTTGCAAGTCTACACTAACAGAACCTTGCAAGTCTGAAAGCACAAAACTTCCCATCTCCGCTTTTAACTACTGGATCTTTCCTTTCTCTGACGGTTAAATGACTGCAGAGTCCTGTATCTTGTCTGATGGTTTCCTAGGCAGTATCTCCTCTTTCCCCCTTATTCATTCATTCCATTTCATCAGGTCACCTTCCTGTCCTCTTATCTGAGCATTTCCTCCTGTCCTCAAAGCCATTTCCTCAGTCCACTACAACCAGCAGAAAAGCAAAGGCAAATTCACTACACCAGAGATACACTCACCTCCACTGTGTCCCTCTGACTGCTTTAATTCCTCGTTTAGCCATTTGTAATGAGCCAATTCTTTTTCCAATGTCTGGATCTTGTGTTCATACTGAAGCCTGCTGTTTGCCTGTCCTTCTATATGTTCTGAAAAGAATGAAGAAAATAAAGCCTTGTTAAAAACAGAGATTTGGACAAACTATGGTGGTGATTAGTTGCACAACAGAGACCAAAAAACCCCCACAAAATTAAAAAGCATCAGTTGAAGGAAAACAAAAGGAAACTATTCATTCAACTGAGGGTATGAATACATTTTATCTTAAGGATAAACATACATTTCAATATGCAACAATGTAAGAACAGCTAATAAATAATGAGCTTAGAGAGTGGCACTTTAGTTGACCTGACTGATCTTTAAAAAGCTCAGCAGGGTTGGAGGTACTTAAATGGGGGAGCACAAAGAAATCAGAACCATAGATTTGATTGCAAAGCTGGAAAAAGCACTCCAGAAGAGAGAAATGACAAGCCCTCCTTCAGTATTGCTGAGATGTCTGCATGAGTTGGGTCCATATAATCCCCTAAAGTCCAATTTTGATTAGAGGCTTAACTTTACCATTCATTGTAAGGTTATTCAAAGATCTCAGCTGCTGTGTCGGTTTTTCAGCTAAATACATTTCTACAGATTTGATGGAAGAAGCCTTTCAGTTTTCCAAATTGGCAGGAGACAAGAATGGAATCCATTTCTTATGTGGCATCAGTTTATATGCCTTAGGAAATATGAACGATAAACCATTGGCAGGGTTCATTTCAGATGAGAAAGAGGTGATTTTTCCCAATTTCTTCAAGAACTCTCCAACAAAGCAGAATTAGGGCATGGCTACCACAGATGTCTCCATCTTTTACAGTTCCACCTAAACAACTGAAACAATGAGCTTATATAGTGTGTGTTTTTAGGAGAGGCAGTGCCACCAGTGATCAACTAAGGATTTAACAATAACCACGACTGTTCCTCAGTCCTATTTATTACCCCGACTCTGTTGGAGCAGGAGCTGAATGTCCTGCTCGTGTTCCTTCTGTTGTAAGGTCAGCTGACGATCCATCTCCAAGCGCTGACGCTCTAGGGCCACCTCCAACCAAAACACCATCTGTAGCTGCTCTTCCAGCTGCATTTCCAGTTCGGAAAATGCCACGTTCTGTTTGTGCTGGTCTTCTCGCAAGGTCACCACCTGATCATTAACAGGAATGTTTGGAAGATTTCAACTCACTGTGGTTACGAAAAGGCAACAAGCAGTTTCACGAAGCTAAACTCTACAACAGCTATCCCAGAACTGAACAGGTACATAGTGGTTTAATTAGCTAAACATTCTTCTACAAAGCCAATCAATTTCTCAAGAAGGAAAAGTGACATGCAGAGAGAAGTCTACAGTTATCTCCCCTGACACGCTATCTATCTACAGTTGGGGAGTCACACACATTTCTGGGCCTGAGCCATGCATTATTGGATACCCACCTTATCAAAGTATTTGCAAAGAAGTGCCCGGGTCTCTGAGGAAGAGAGGTAGCTGAGTTTTGCCATAAGGTTCATCTCACATTGGGACAGAAGGCTGGCGGAGGACCTCAGAACCCGCTGTCTGCAAGTAATGGACTCATTCTTATATTCTATGGCAGCATCCAGGGCTTCAATGGCTTCATCCAACTGGAAAAGAATCCGCTCCTCCTAAAAATAGACCAACATCCCCACCACCCTGATAAATTATTTGATCCTTATGAGTGGTAAATTGATACTTCAGTTGACTAGAATCCCAATCCTCACTTTATCCTTCCTTCCTTCCTTCCTTCCTTCCTTCCTTCCTTCCTTCCTTCC